CATAAGATTCATATCATGATTAGTAGAAGCCGATCTTTGATTGGACATGCGGGGGTGCTCAATTCATGACCTTTCCCTCTTGTACCCAAGTTTCCGAGCCGAGACAATCTTGGTGATGACGGACACGTGGCCTTTGGCATGAGTTATGGGTTTCCTAAATTTCTCTAAAAAAATATTTGGGTGACGACTCTGTATCTAGCAAAGCAGTCCATTTTTGGCATTTTTTATTCAAAATCGATTTTTCAAAACGATTTTTCGGATTGGGACTCTTTGTTGTTTATCTATTTCACATTGCACTTGTGAGATCAAATTCAGAACCCCGGGAGTCCGGTATTATAGGGCTTATTCGCCTTCCGAAAGGGGGCGCGGAAAAGTCAAGCTATACCAGTCCATACCTAATATAGCATCAAAACTTGACATATCAATTAACACAAATGTAAAAAGAAGTTGACAACCTCTAAGAAAGTACCTCCCAAGCTATTGCCTTTGCGTAAGCATATCATTAGTACCTGAAATATTTTTCCTACATAGGGTGAGCCAAAACCCAGTAGAAATAATCCAACACAGTATATGAATCTTAACAAAGCTATAAAGTGAATGCATATGCAATGCTTGTATCAAAACATTTTATCTTTTTTCAAAAACTATGTAATGCCAAATGAATATCATAGTTCATAAAACATTCTCCTTTCAAGGGAAAAACAGGGCAGTGAATCATATTTCTGGAAATCTCTAAAATAGTATCACATTTCACAAGAATTTCGCTTGCGGGAAACCCTAAATCGGCACCCATGTAAACATAGGCTATACAAGCACTACTATTGCCATTTTACGGATGTTTCGTTCCCGGAATCGGCACCCATGTACATGCATGATTTTCGGGACTTTCACCCTAGACACACAGGCCAACTTGTTTGATGTAACAACTCCTTGCCAGATTCACCCATTTTCTCAAAAAAAATATACTTTTGCAATGTATAAATATAAAATAATAACCGATGCAAATGAATGAGAAAAATAGTTTCAATTTTCCCTAATTCTTATGCAATTTCTACAACAACCACAGCTATATTCCACTAATAGCCCAAAACAGATATTTCTAAACAGATAAATAATATTCCTTAAAGATAAACTTTTCAAATTCCAAAGTATTAGTGGTAATACATACCCAACTCCACCATCCTCATCAAAACCAATCAATTTCATAATTTCCATATCAATCTCATTATTTATATAAAATCAACATTTATCAAAATTAGAGCAAATCCCTTTTCTTTTTCTTTTTTTCTCAAAATCAATTCTACATATCGAAACCAACTATTTCACCACAACTCAACCTCATTTTCAATCCCACAACCATTTCCACGAAACCATTAGAAAGCCCCTCTTTTGGTCTTTAACCCAAAACCCTAGATTTGTTCCAAATCTTCCAAAATCTCAATGTTGTTTAGAAATAACAAATAGCTAAGTTAAATCTCATAAAAAGTGTGGAGATATCCCTACCTCAAGTTTTAGAAGGCGAGAGAGAGAGAGAGAGTGTAGAAAACCCAAAGACGCCAAAAGTCAACTTTGCTCCGATTAGAATGAAGCCCTCGCCAAGCTCTACCTTTTTAACAAAGGGACACGGGTGAAGAACTCGACCGATCTAGGTGTATTTGTATAGAGAATGTGAGTTTTAGAGAGAGAGAGAGAGAGTCTCAACTTATGGTTTTGAAATGTTTAGAGAGAGAGAGAGAGAGGGATGAAAAAATGATGTAAAAAGTGATTTTTACGGACTAATATACGCGCAGACCGCTTGAGCCCAAGTGTTACTCGAACGTCCAGACATAAAAGATGTGACTGCTCGAGCACAAGAAGCTTGGGTCGAGTGTAGAATACAAACTCCCAGAAGTTTTACAGATAGAAGACTATCGCTCGAGCTCAACAATGGCCGCTCAAGCCGACACCGCTCAAGCACAAGAAGCACCGCTCGAGTATAGAATACCACTTCCTAGTAGTTTTGTAGACTTGTAAAATTACTGAGAGTTCACAAAGACCGCTCGAGCGCAAGAAATTTTGCTCAAGTGAATGAATAAAATTCTGGACAACAAAAGTTTGAAAAACAAGCTACCAACTTGTTCCAAACGCAATAAACACATCCCAAAAGCCAAACTCAAAGAGAGATAAGGGAAGGAAAGACATAAATAACTATATACGACAATGAAACCTGGATCCAAAACATCAAAGGAGTTGGGTTCAAACCAGAATCGTTATATGGGTCTAGGCTTGGACTTGGACTTACTTTTAGTCTTGGTCTAGACTGGCCTAGGCTTGTGTATGTGCATGTGTTGGACTTAGTCTTGGGCGTGAGCTAGATTGTGCTATGCTGAACTGGACTTGTCTTGTGCATATGTTTTAGATTGGGTTTGGATCGGGTTGTGACCCAACACACGTATCCATTTTGCAACCCATTTAGCTGGATTATTTGAATAGCATTATATATATATATATATATAATGTAAGGGAGGTTTTTAACCTTTGTAACTCTCATCTTTTGATGATGGAGTTGAAGATCATATTATGTACATTGGATTTTTGCAACTTTGTAACTTTAACCCTAATGGCTAGAGTTGATGGCCATTGATGCTAGGTTTTATGGTAACCTTTATGGCTAAGGCACCTTCCCTGCAAGTATAAAAAGGGGGTTTTCCCTCCAATTTAGTGGAATAATTTTGGAGGGAATTTTTTTTTTAATGGAAAATAGAGATGATATTTTGAGATAAACAGTTAGAGATTTTCTTTTACACTAAAGAAAATTTTTCTTATCTTCTTTTGTTAGCCCCTTCTTTGGTTTTTGTTAGAGAGAGTGCATCTACTATCAAGTTCGCTGAAACTATTCAGAAGGTACTTTTGCATTAGCTGGTTTCGACCGTTATATCCTGGGAGACAGACACCGATGTACCTCCAGCATCCATCGGGAGGCAGTGAATCTATTTTAAGGAAACTGTCTAGTGCAGGTTTCGGTTTACTTATTTTCTTATTATTTGTTCTTATTTTTTCAAAAATTTAGTTTACAAAGATGAGTTCGAATTTTTAGTTATTTATGTTAATAATTTGTGCTATTAGTAATGTAATCTAATTCATTTCTGTATTTTCAGTTGCATAGTTTATCCTGTATTTCATTCTTTAAATAAACAAAAAATTGTTTTTTTATTTCTATTTAATTTATTTTTTTTATATATATATATATATATTTCTTGTATTATTATGTAAAGTCATAATCTATAATCTGTTAAGCTATAATCTATAATCTATTTTAACAGCTACACCAAACGGGGCCATTATCTACTAATAATCACGTTACTAGCTTCTGAAAGATGAACTAATTTTCACACGGGCTAGAAGAAGGCCTTAGCAAACCAGAGGGAGCGATAAAGTGAAATGTCCATCTTACCCTTGGAAAATGGTCATACATTGCACATGTGACCATTTTTCAACAAAATTCATAGCAATTGTTATTAATAATTAGATTAAATTTAAAAAAAAAAGAATTAAAATTGAGAGAATTGAAACCGTTGGAACCAAAATGACACATAATAAATTACAAAGGCTGCCAATATAATTTTTTCAAAAACAAAATAAACCTCAATCTCTAATCGTTGATTGTTTATTTGTATTTTTTGGATTAGCGGGTCGTGTTTCTAAGTCGAGACCATGGTTTGGACTCTACACAATTAGGCCTTGATGCATGCAAGGTAGGACTGGCCTGGCTTGACAACGATACATGAGCCATAGTTCCTCTAAGAGGCAAAGATGGTCATAGCATTGCTGTTTTTAAATTTCTTGAAGACAAGCCCAAAAATGTGAAGTCTGGTCAAAAGTTCAGGAGAAACTGCAAATAAATATAAATATTTGTTGCAGAGTGACACTGTCTACATCTATACTAGATGACAAACTTCAGAGAGAACCACTCATTTAAGGGGGGTGAGCAGTTGTAGTATTATACTAAGACAAATAAACATCAGTGCAAGCATACAAACTTAGATACTCCGCCAACTCAAAATTGGCCTAAGAAGAGGTTAAAACTATAATTCTGCTCGAGAACACTATACATGTAAATTATATTATTATATATATACACACAAATGACAAATGTGTGACACGTGTCACTTGCAAGTGAAGTGTTATTTGCATGCCATTCAACAAGAAATTTGTCACTCAAATGGTTGTGTTATGCCATGCTTCTAGTGGGAGAAGTTGTGAAGGTGCCAATTGTACTCGTATACTTTTTTAACTCATTAAAATAAAAGCAGTAGTGCTTATTTTTTAATGCATAGTATTTAGGAAATGCTAATCGGGTAGTAGTTGATGTTAGTATTTGTGTAAATAATGTATTGAAATATGAAAAAATTAAATAAAAATATAATCATGTTACATTAATTATATTTCTATATTATATTATGTTTGTCATCTTATTTGTCAATACAATATTAGTTTAATCGGTCCTATCATTAATATGTGAGAAATATATAAGTGTATGAGAATATATAAAATATGTATTATAATTCTAACTTCTGGGGTATTATTTGATTTTTAATGAACACTCATTAGACAATTATTAGCACGACTCTTTTTCAAACATAATACATATGAAGAGATAATTAAAGTTTGATAAGATGAAAAATGATATATCACTAGAACTTTTATAACTTCTAGAATGATGATGTTCCAGTGGGCAACTTATAAATTATGTTTATAACGATGGATCATGTCTTTATAAACGAAACCATCACTATACTAGTTTTGTATTATATAGCACTACTCTTATAAGATTTGTTGGTAGGATCTATTTATAAAAATATCATATTCATTTACATATATTCTATGTTCGTTTCTGTAATTGATTTTTGTATTCCTAAACAAACTAATTCTTATATATATATATATATATATGGGTAATCACAAGTAAAGGCAACCACCCCAACTAAGACTTGGTCTATTCCCTCAACATAGCCCAAGTTATGAATTCAATATCAGAGTCTTTCAAAAGCCACCCTCTCCACCTCAACCATATCATCCCACTAGACTTCAATAGTCTTCCCAAAGTACCCGATTCCCACACTTGGACCCTACCCAAATCCAATCACAACCCATTACCCACCGAATCAATACCCATCATAGACCTCCTCGGAGACTCCAAAAACACAAACGAACTCATACAACAAGCTTGTGAGAAATGGGGTGTGTTTCAAATCATCAACCACGGCGTCCCAATCACTCTCCTCTACCAAATTGAGCACCAAACCCGGCGGCTATTCGCCTTGCCGGCGAAGCAAAAACTCCGAGCCATGCGATCGCCGGACGGCCTCACCGGATACGGGGTGGCCCGGATTGCCCCTTTCTTCCCCAAGCTCATGTGGTCCGAGGGGTTCTCGGCGGTGGGCTCGCCGGAGGAGCATGCTCGCCAACTTTGGCCCCATGACTATACTACATTCTGGTACGTGCATGCAGCTGTCACCTTGTCAATGTTACCAGATATATTTTAGGGAATTATCAGTTGGACAGAAAAAAAAAACAAAAAAAAGGAAATTACATAAATATGGAGGAGTGCAAGTGAGACTTGCATTCTCACGACTTTTTACTTGCACCCTTCGTATTTTTGTAATTTTTTTTAATTTTTTTTTTCTATTTCATTGTTAAGTAATTTTCCTTATATTTTAGGATAAATTATGTCGGTGTTTTTAGATTTTGGCCATTCTCTCATTTTGGTGTTTGTAATTCTAACTTGCTCGATTTGGATCATGAGTTTATAACTTTGTTTTAATTTAGACCAATTAATTACAACTATAAACATTCTCTTCAGGAAAAATACACACATAAACGGTATATTTCATGTAGATGCAAAATTAAAAATTTGTTCAATTCAGTAAGTTAATCTCAACTAACTTAATATTATCAACTAAGTCAATTGAAAGCGTAAGGACCAAAATAATACAATAACCAACCTGTAGAGATTACGAGTAATTTTACTCTATATTTTATAAGGAATAATATTAGAGATCTAAAAAAATTATCAAAATTTCAGAATTTTTGATAGCATTTGCGTACACCAAAAAACCAATCCCAAAAAAAACAAAAAATTAAAAAAATTGATTTGGAGTTCACATTAATTTTAGGGAGACTTTCAACACAGTGGAACAAATAAAAAAAATTACAAAAATATGTGTGGTGCAAGTGATTTTATAATGGGGTTCAAGTGAAAAATTGTGAGGCTGCGAATGTGACTTACACCTAAGGGTGCAACTCGGGCGGGTTCGGTCGGGTTAGAAGGTTGTCCAAGTCCAATCCAAATTGTGCTGAGACCTGTCCAAGCCCGAATTGTAATCCGAGGTTGTCTGCCCAAGCCCGACCCGAGTTAAATCCGAATTGCTCGAATTATAAATGAATTTCAATTTTTTTTTTTTATCTATAGAAAATCATTAATACTATCAAAACAAATAATTTATATAATATAAGAGAGATGTCACTATAGTAGTCCTTACAATTTATGAGTGAAAATTAAAAAAAAAAGTAAGATTTTATGTTATTTGTATATATAATATATATTCAATATGATTTAATAATATAAATTACTTTAATATTACGTAATTGCTAATAATTTATTTATATATTTAATATTTTTATATATCGATATATATATAATTCGGGTTTCGAGTTGCTCGAGTTGTTTGACGTCTTTGCCCAAACCCGCTCAAATTTAATTCGGGCTTCTGAATTTTTGCCCAAGCCCGTACTGAATTTGAAAATATTTTGTCCAAGCCCTAAAAAAATTCGGACTGGGCTTGGGTTGCTCGGGTTGAGCCCGCCCAAGTTACACCCCTACTTACACCCCTTTCATGTTTGTGTAAATTTTTTTTTTTACCCACTAAAATGTAATTCGCTCTTCATTTTATAAGAACTACAATATAAGTGCTAAAATTAGGCCATACATTTTTCTTTCTTCTTATTTTTTTGTGGTTGATTTCTTAGTAGGTAACATTACACATACATTATTAGGAAACACATAAATTAAATACAAAAATAATAAAATAAAATTTAGTAAATGAAAATGAATTGCATAGTACAACTTATTTCCTGTGGATTCACCTCAGGTCTACCACAATAATTTGAACATTTCATCTACTAGAATTTGTTGATTAGATTATTTATGTCAAAAGTATATAATTGATAAATAAGAAAATAAAATAAAAAAAAAAGAAAAAGAAAAAATTGATTGCACACAGTTTGTAATCTAATCATGCAAATACTAATATGTGATGAATTGATTTTTTTTTTTTTTTGTGGTATAAATAAATTGATTCACAAGTCCTAACTTGTTTGGGAACAAATAAAAAAGTCACATATGTTTTTAATTTTTTTTGTCTGTAACATTTATTTTAAAAATTATGTCGAATTTTTTTATTTTTCTAGTCTGTCTTGTGCAGATGAATAAAAAAATAATCATTTTTTTTTAAAGAATTCAAAAAAAAAAAGCAATTTTTTTTAAACTTATTTTTATCTTTTCTGGATTTAACTTTTTTTTTTCTTTTTGTTCACAAAATCTAAAAATTTAGGTAGCGTTTTGGTAGAATTTTAAAATTATGATTTGATAATAGAGTTGTATTTTGAGTTTGTGAGTTTTGGAATTATGATTTGAGTAAGAAAAATTTGTTTAGTTATGAGTTTTAAAGAGAGTTTTGAGTTGAGTTTGAAAGTTTTGATATGACATATAATATTTGATTAAAAAGCTTACAACTCATAACCAAACACATAACCCAAAATTCATTTCAAAGCTCATAAAAAAATTTAAAAAAATTTTGAAAATATTTTTGATTAAAAATATAAAAATAATAAGTGCCAAAAAAAATTACTGTTTCGATCAACTGGTTAGACGTTCGGATGGATGATCGGGTAGACGAGTTTTCAAAAGCGAGTGTAGAAATGATTTTTAAAAACTCAAACCAAACGTAGCATTCAAACCAGTGGGTGAAAAATTGATTACAAAGTCCTACTAAACGGAGTCCTATTTTTTAAAAAATTAAAAAAAAATAATCCACTAAATACGAAGATTAAAAAAAAAAAAAAACCGCAAAAGGCCACCAAATAAACCGCACCGTGCAATCCAAAAAACTAATCCGTTTGGCAAGAGCTAAACGGGGCTTTTTTGGCTATTTTAGCCACAAAAGACAAAATAGGCTATTTTAGCCACAAAAAACAAAATATCACATCCAACCCATAATCATTACATTCTTCTCTCACAAAAAAAGCCAAAAAAGCCTAAAAGCCAAAAAGCCCTTCCCAAACCAAACTTTTTAGCCCAGGCTAAAATAGCCAAAAAAGCCAAAAAGCCAAAAAGCCAACCCACTTCCCAAACGGAGGCTGAAAGTGTTTTTGCATTGTTGTCTGACGCTGTTAGCAAAAATGTTGTCTTGTTTATCTGATACATCGCGATAGGTAATGGTTACGGTGGAGCCGCGTCATTTGGTTAGGCATTCAGGGTCAGGGGTACGTTTGGTAATTTGAAACGTGACGTTGCAGTCTATATGGAATCTAATCGACGCTTTGCTCTGATTACGTGGCGGTCATCGGGTGGGGTTCAAGGTTTCAAGTTTTTTTTTTTTTTTTTAAAAATTTAATACTGCAATAGTACTACGGTACGGCGTCGTCTTTCTCACATGTCAGCACGATCCACTGACAATAAACGGTTCAAAAATATCACATCTCCACATATTATTAAATTAAATTAAGGATAAATTTTAGGATAAATTATACTGACAGTTCCTGAGATTTGATCTAATTATATTTTATTATCTGATATTTTAGAAATTACATTCCTATCCCTATAATTAATAGTTTCATTTTATAAAAACTCTCCTACTTATATAAAAGACAATCACTCTTAGTAGAAAAACAAAAAAAATTACATTGAAAAAAAAATAAAGTAAAGAAAAGGAAGGAAAAATAAATAAATAAATAAGAGAGGAAGTAAAGTAAAGCAAAGCAAGAAAAGAAAGAGTTCAATGTCTTTATTTCGTCTAAATAATTACAATGACAGTGGAGTTAGTATAATTTTCCAAACGTCAAGAGGTGATGTGTATTAAACCAAACTGCAAGGGGTGTAAGTGTAATTTATCCTAAATTTTAAAACTCAATAATTAATCCTCTCAAATTATTGTCTTCTTATAATTAATCATTTTTGTTAGAATTCTGTTGAAAATTTAAAGAAAATCATATTATATATTGAATTGTTACGGCAATAATACATTTATCTAGTGATTCCATTTGTATATTACCATCAAAATAAGGAAGACAAAATATAAATAAAATCACCATATAAGAGCATTATCTTAAAATAATCGTTTACACTTTGTCAATCGGATAAGGGAGATAAAGTGTAAATAAAATCCCCACATAAAAGTATTGTTATTTTAAAGTGCAAATGAAAGGGTTAACTGATAAGATAATACTTTGAAAGAATTAATTGTTGAGTTTTGAAATTCAAGATAACAAAATGTAAATGAGTTATAATTTAAAGAGATTTATTATAAATTACCCTTAAATTAATTTTCAATAATAATAGAGATGAAGAATTCACACTTAAAAATATATCATAAAAAATTGTATGTAGTCTAAGGCCTCATTTGGCAACTTTCAGTTTAAGTCAAAAACTCACTATAAGTTATCACATTACTCTCTTTATTTTTCTGCACATCATTTCATAAAAAAAAAAATCAAAAAATTACTAAAATAGATTATTCCAAAAAATTTAGGCTAAATTGTTAGGGAAAATATGTGATTCCCCACAAGTAAATCAATCAATGGGAATAAAAACTAATGCAGAAAAATTAAATCAGAAGCAACACAAGAATTTTTACGTGGTTCCCTAAATGTGAGGTACGTCCACGGGATCGAAATCTGATTCCACTATCAATCAAATAAGTTCCAAACGATTACAAACGAGACACTAATGGTCTCACAAAACCACCCTTAGGTGAATTCCAAATAATCACAAATAAACAAGAGGAAAGACCTCACCAAATAGATGAACGGTAGTTGTGTAATTGGAGCTTTGATTTCAAAACCCTAACCCTTATTGAATATATGTTATTAAATTTTTTCTCAGTCAAAATTAATATCTATGGCCACCCAAGGTAGTTGTGTAATTGGAGCTTTGATTTCAAAACCCTAACCCTTATTGAATATATGTTATTAAATTTTTTCTCAGTCAAAATTAATATCTATGGCCACCCAAGGTAGTTGTGTAATTGGAGCTTTGATTTCAAAACCCTAACCCTAAAGAATGAATATCGGATATGTGTTCTCATTCAAAATTAACATATGTTCTCAGTCATATTCACATTTCTTTAATTGCTTTCACTTCGCTCTGTCATTGTATATACCCCCCCCTTTTTTTTTCCTTTTTCTTTTTTGCTTATTTTTATGGAAGATTTTTTTGGA